AAGACCCAGTGCTATGCTCTTCACCTTGAAGATTCCTCACAACTTTGTGGAGATGAATGAAACATGTTGGAAAGGAGGGATAGATACAGCACACAAGCATCCTTTTTTTGTTGTTGTTGTTTTAATGCACTAGACGTGCTCTGCTGTTGTAGATGATGCAGTTTCCATTGCCTTGCACATCGCATTGGCAGTGATGGGCATTTCTACCCTACTCAGCACTGGTGAAAGCGGATCTGGAGCGCCGTGTCCCGTCTTGGGCTCCCCAGCTCCAAGTATTCACACGCTAGAGCAAGTCCCATGAATGGCCACAAAGATGATGAAGGACTTGGAGCCTTTCAGGTATGGGGAGAGCCTGAGAGAGCTGTTGAGTCTGAAGATGAGAAGGCTGAGGGGGTTCTATCAATGTGTGTATATATGTAATGAGAGCATATGAAGAGCCTGGGGCCAGACTCTTCTCAGCAGCATCTAGTGAGAGGACAAGAGGCTATGGGCACAGATTGAAATACATGGAATTCTCTTAAAACATAAGGAAATACTTTTTTACTTTGAAAGCAGTTGAACACTGGAACAAGCCCAGAGAGGTCGTGAAGTCTTCCTCCTTGGATATTGGACATGGTCTTGGTTTGAGCAACCTGCTTTGAGTACAGGTGGTTGGACTGGATGCTCAGAGGTGTCTTCCAGCCTCAGCTATTCTTTGATTTCACTTGCTCTTGATATATTCTCATTTATTGAAGCTGTCATTTGATATTATAATATATACACGTTGGATGGAATGGTCTTCTCACATTCTGCTTTTAATATTCTTGTCACACAGAATCAGAAGTTACATATTTTAATTTTTATAGCACCTTCCTTAAAAAGACAAAATCAAACAACGAGGTCAAATAGCAAATACACTACATTGTTTCAAAAGAGAACTTTTAACATTGAAAATACTGTATTCAGATATAGAAATATCACATCTAAAGATGAAACATTGTTTTGATTTTGTGTCAGGGAAATCAGATAGAACACAAAACATCAGAATTAAATTACCAGATTTTTCCTTTCCTTTTTCCCTTCCCCTCTCCTTTTTCCTTTCCTTTTTCCTTTCCTTTTTCCTTTCCTTTTTCCTTTCCTTTTTCCTTTCCTTTTTCCTTTCCTTTTTCCTTTCCTTTTTCCTTTCCTTTTTCCTTTCCTTTTTCCTTTCCTTTTTCCTTTCCTTTTTCCTTTCCTTTTTCCTTTCCTTTTTCCTTTCCTTTTTCCTTTCCTTTTTCCTTTCCTTTTTCCTTTCCTTTTTCCTTTCCTTTCCTTTCCTTTCCTTTTCCTTTCCTTTCCTTTCCTTTCCTTTCCTTTCCTTTCCTTTCCTTTCCTTTCCTTTCCTCCTTGAAATTACCATTTATTTTAGGGTCCTTGCTACTTCTTTGTTATACGATTTTATGGAGCTTCTTGTAATAGGGCCTAAACTTAGTAAAAGGATAATAGGAACTATAATATTAGAGATAATAAAGTAATAACACAGGAGACAGATTTCATGGTGCATTACTCCGAGAGGTGCTCATTTTAACCCTTTGGAGAGTGCAGAATATGCTTTTCTAACCTTCATATTAGTTACTAGGATAACGGCAGTGCTCCAAGCATAAGCACAGAGTTTGTTCTGCCTTCCTTCCATGCACATGTTATTTCATGCTGCAGTCTCTGAGATGCCCAAATGCATGTGAGGCGAAAAGAGGAAACTAAAGGGATTCTTGCATTATGTTCAGCCCTGAGAAAGTCATTTAGCTTGTTGTACCTGTGCTGAGGTGATCCACCTCCTACCCACACGCGGAAAGGACACTCGGGAAGTAAACTGGAATTGCTAGGAAATACTAAGCCTTCACTCACGAAGAATGGGTAATCATAGACATGCAAACATCAACCAACATGTATGTATCTAGAGCACACGGAATAACTGCCGGGAAAATGTCCCTTTCCTGCATCCATCCATTTTAGGCAGCTTATTAGTGAATAAAAGAGTTATATCAATGAATCACACTGAATAGTTTACTATTGTGTCCATGGCCTTAGAGGAGACACTGGCCTTTAGATAGCTTAAATTTTCACTTAAAAGCATTACTTTTGGCTCTGGTGTCAAAAATGAAGATGAGAAGTGAGAGAATTCAGAAGAGAACAATGAGGACAGCAGGAGCATGGGAGAGTATTTTCCCAAGGAAGATTAAAAGCTTGGATGTGAGATCAGAGGCGTCCTGCAAGAGCGTAGCAATGGTAGGAGCTTCCATGGGCAGACTCAGCAAGGAGGGACCTCTCAGTCATATTTCAAGAAAATCGGTGCAGTCATCGACCAGTAGCTCAGAGCAGAATTCACTTTACGCTGATAAACACCGAATGCGGCTGCAGAGGGCATTTCTACAGTAACAAGGTAAACCCACCAGTGTTTGGGAGAAACGGCCTGGCAGAAAGCTCTCCCAGAAAACACAAGGGAAATTCACCTGCCTGTGAAGTTGTGCTGCGACTGGGCAGAAAGCAATAAATCCGTGATAGAGCACTCTCTTCCAATTAAAGAGGCAAGGTAGAAGAGCTCCTAGACCTTTCCCAGCTTTGTGCTTTATGAGTACAGGTGTTACAGGCATGCAAAGCAGCATATCTTAATTGACATCTCCAAATCAGACCAGTTCCACTTGTGTTTGATTTAGCATACTGTATTTTGATGAAGTTTTCATCTGATTTCCCTGAAGGACAACAGTAGCATTTCCACTCTTTTAGTTCTCATTTGCTATGGGTGTAGAGAATTTAAAATGTGAATTAAAACAATGCAAAAAGCCTTATGGTATCAGGTGAATAGGCATAGGAGAGCAAACTTGGCCAGTACAAAGAGCTGTTTGTTGCCAGAGCTTTTCTCATATACAGGTAAACTTTATTCTGGGAAGAGAAAACTGCACAGGGAGCTGCTGGAGACTAAGAAGGACTTCAAAGTGAGAATGGAAGTGCAAATCAATAGAGTAACCACATGAAACTTTCCAGGGGTATTTGGTGCCTTCTTATATTCATTATAAAATGTTACTTCACAAATTCCCACTAATCCTAGCTGCATTTTCTTCTTTTCATTTATTTATTTATATATTTTCTTTGCCTATCTTTCAGTTTATCTTTTTTGAATTCTCTAGGTATTTCCTAAGAAAAATAAAAAATCCGGAGAATGGCTATTATAGGATTTACCAGAAGATGAAGAACTTCTTCAGCTGACCTTTTCACACTGCAACGCTTCCTGCAGAGAAAAGGTACAGAAATTGGTTGTGCCCATTCTGGCTATGTTATTCCAATGCAGTTGGGCACCAGCATTCCTCTGCAGGCCCCAGCTGGAAGGGACACGATGCTGGGATAGTCTGTTGCAATATTTTGTGGAAATGAAATCTCTGTTTCAAGAAATGTGTCTGTCGTGTGTACCCAACTTTAATCTGATTGGTAATTGTTGGGATATTAATTTTGCTCCCTCTTGCTCCTGCTAGGGCCGTATGGTAAACATAGTGCTCCTTAGTTTGGATGCTGACTAGTGTTTATCTGTTTTTCTGGCTTTGTAATCTGTAAAAAGTTGAAAATGGTGTTATTTTGTACTAGTCAGCAATTATGAGATATGATTTGTTGACGTTGCAATGCTTGAACATAGTTCAGACCTTGGAATCTTCACTCAAGCCATTTGAAGAAAAATATCCTACTTTTTATTACCAATAATTATTTCCTCTGATGTACTAGCTGATATGCACAGTCAGAATACATGAAACTGACAATTTTTATACAGTTTTTTAATAAACTGACATTTTTATGATGCTTTAATAAAATCATCTTTAATCTTTCTGAGTGACCATTCAAGGAGACTGTGTCATGACTTGAATTCTGCCCTCAAAGAGCATCGTGCAAATGTCACCAAACTCCCCAAAGGCTCCGCGGACAATCATGAGCTTTGGATCAGGCCCAAAGTTCCCAATTCCAGCGGCTCGGGACAGACCTGCAGCCCGGCTGCTCCAGGAGCATCCCTTTAACTGCTACACTGCAGGAAAGAGGCTTCCTTTAAACGGTCAGGACAAAATATATATTGCTTATGTTGCCACACTGTTATAAGACACACACAAAGAAGCACCCATGCTTTTTTAAAGACTTTCTGTAAAATGCACTGTACAGTTTTCAATGTTTGAAATTACAATAGATATTTTTTTTAAAGTTGAGTACTTTCGAACTAATAATTCACATCTGAAGATCACTTTTGTCTTCATTTGGCAGAGATATTTCCCTATGCCCCATGCCCTTTGTAAATGAGGAACAGTCCTCTTATTCAATTAGAACAAACAACAGTAAACTTACTTAAAAATGTTTATTGTAAAAAAGTGGCTAGAAAACAACATAAATTTCACTTCACGCTTTCTTCAAGTTATCTATAGACGCTGCTATAGGCAACAATTCACTTTCATTCATAAAGCATTCAATCATATAAAAATAAAAATATTTACATTATGTCCACATACTTTACAAAGTCATCAATAAAAAAGGCACTTGGAGGGGTAATGCTGAACATATTGCATTTCCTTTGTGCATTAAAAAAATAATTGTCAAACTCCCATGAACCCCCTCTCTTGCACTTATTCCCGTTTTTTTAAAAAAAAAGATTAAAGTTTAAAGGATCTATTCCATATTAAAAGATGGTCAAGCATGCACCAGGAATGTTTGAAGCTACAGTCTTTTTTTTCTTTATTTTTTTGTTTTCTTTTTTTCTTTAAAAAAAGGCACATGCGGTTACTTTGTGGCTGTCAATTTTTCATACATTCTCTTACATCTTTCCATTTTCCTCTCCTAGTTATGCAGTTTTAAAGCATTTCAGATCATTAATGAAGGCCTCGGCTTTTAATAAAATAAAATAAAAAACACAGCAATGAATAATATTAAACATTTACTAAGGTAAACTTGGAATACTTTTTAAGGCACCTGAGATAAATGGTGTCTAGCAAAATCCACTTGGGTAGTACTTTCAATAAAAGTTCAATTTAAAATACTGTTTCTTTGGTTGAAATGGCTTGGCAGGAATGTATTGGTAACTTTGCAGCCTTTTCTTCGCCAGAAGAGACTACATGCATTTGGCTTCATCTATAAAGACAGTTGATAATATTTCTTCCTTAACATCTATTTGAAATGTCATGCACGGTGTCTTTACCCATATTTCAAAATTCACAACGAAGTGACTGAACAGAAACACTTAAGCTCATTTCTACTGACATTCTAAGTTCTTCCACTATTTTGTTTGTTTTTTGGTTGAAAAGCAGAAGAGAAAATGCCTCTGGGTTTCCACTTATCATCTGGAACGAGAGTGGAGAAATGCATTGAGTCCAGGTAAACATTGACTGCATGACTCAGTGCGCTACACAGCAGCCAGATTCCTCGTGTTTGTGCAGCAGAGACATTCGGGAGAAAGTCTTGGAGCAATTTTTGCACTGGTATTTCTTCACATCCGAGTGGGTCTGCAGATGAGCCCTCAGATTGGATCTGTCTGCAAAAGCCCTATTGCAGTGAGGACAGGAAAACGGCTTCTCCCCTGGAAAGGAAACAGCAAGGAAAAACACAATGCAGCATTAAAACAGAAACACGCTTTTAGAAGAGGTAAAATTCCCATTTATCCTAAGAAACAAAGACACAGGGTTTGTTAAAAGGAAGGAGGTATGTAATAAAAAGTGAAGCGGATAAAACAGCTTCCAGCAGTACCCTCTGCACTTGCAGAATTGGGTCTTTTTGGAATATGCTGCTGAGCACCAGCTCTGCTGACACCATCCGCACCTGCAGGTGTGGGCAGCGCTTACAGGTTGGGGCCTCCCAACATTTTAAAAATAATTATATACATACATATATATATATATATATATTTAAACAACTTATTCTGCTGCATGCTTGGCTCTGTGCAAATCACTTGGGACAGGGTCCTTCACTGGAAGGCAGCAAGCAGCTGTACAGACCCTACATTGTACCCAATGTTACATTCAAAACCATGTTTTTGCCTCAGTAGAAAAAAAAGCTTTGGTGCTGATGTGTTTCTAATTCTGAAGGATTTCAGGAAGCGCAGGCAAGACTTGCCAGCTGGTTCAGGAGCCAGAGATGGGCTCCTCGTGCACAGCCTGTTTTGCTACCTGGTTTCGGAATCGGTGGGAAGCGCTGCAGTGCTCGCAGCTTGCAAAGCCTGCGAGTTAGCACACTTAAACACGCATAAAACAAAACCTTCAGCTAGTGGGAATGGGTTAAACTGTGCTGGAATTATCACGGGAGACATGCTGATCTACACCAGAATCTGCCCCACATTACGAGCCATTGCTACATCCTCTCCTCCCTGCTCAAAAGAAGAAAAATAAACAATTTGGCCTTTTAATGAGACATTTGAAATTGTGTGCATGCTTTTCAAGGGCAGTCAGGAAACACTGTATTTTACCTGCGGAAAAAAACAGGTCAAAAAGGCGTGCTGCTGGCATAGCAATAGCGCAGTGCATTTCTAAAGGCTGCTCTTACCGGTGTGCGTTCGGATGTGTCCTTGCAGCAGCCAGGGTCTGGAGAAAGCCTTGCCGCAGATCTTGCAGACGCAGGGCAGCGTGTGGGTCCTGATGTGCATCTTGAGCGCTCCCAGGCTCACGTACTCCTTGTCACAGTACTTGCAGCTGAACGATTTCCTCGACTGGGCATCACAGTGCAGCTGCTTATGCTTGGCCAACCCGGAGAAAGTGGAATAGGTCTTGTTGCATAAACTGCACTGGAACTTCTCAGCCTCGATGGCATGGGGGTCGGAAAGCTTGGACTGGATTCGCTCTTCTTCATCACTAATGGGGCTCTCTGAACTTTTTGGAGGTGTCGGAAGGTGGAGGTGGGCTGACTCTTCCCAAAGATGAGGGGTATCCAGAGAGCGGAGAGAGGTCATTGGGCAATGGGGATGGCAGCAGCCCCGTTGTAGTCCACACAGTAATGGGGTTGTAGGCTACGGAGCTCAGGATCTCTGGCTGTGGTATGATAGGGACTGGATAGCTTTCATACAGGTATGGGGATATAATCACTGGAGAAAGAAGAAAAGCTTGAGGTAAGAGAAATGGAAAGTGTTTCCAAAGGCAAATAACAGCATTATACGGGCTACAAAGGGTATAAGTCAAATAGGGATTATGGTCATTCAGGCACAGGGAGGATTAAGGAAATAATGTTTGCTACGTATATACTGACACATAGGGACAGTGCCTTGAACAGAGAAATTGCAGTTTCAACATCTCTTCAAGGCGGCATGCGCTTTCTAAATTCATGCAGCCTGGTACAGCAAAAAGCCAAAACTTCCTAAATTTCCTTGCCAGGAGATGCAGAGCAGAAAACCCCCCAAATCCTCCCGAAATAACTGAGTCCAAGTGGATGAGGAAACTAATATTAAGTGACTCCTCGGGTCATCGGGAACACCTTCCTTCCATCAGGAACACAGTCAGCGGAGACAACCATCTTTTATTCCATGCACACATCCAGGAGCGAGCTGTTTCCTGACATGAGAGCAGGCGAGTGAAATACCACACTGAGACGGATAATCTGCAGGATTTTTTTCCTTAACCACTATATTGGTCATCCATCTTCAGAGGCAGCTTGCCAAAAGATGGGTCGCTGCTGCATATGCTGTTTCTGCGGCAGTTGGTCTCATCTGTCCATACCTGACTCAGAAAACAGGGTGCTCTGTAAAATTAAAAGGCAGCAGATTAAAGTGGGATGAGAGGGAATATTTCTAGGGGGAACCTGTAGAATCCACTACTGAAAACGAGGCTTTAAATCTTTATAATTTCTCTGTCCCTCCTGGGTTTACAAACCCCGTTTTGCCACCCTGCAGTGGGCTGGGGTGTTTCTGGGGCATGCTGTATGCAACACTGAGCCCTCTCCACGGCTCTACCCACAGTCCAATCTTCCAGTGTGGCTGTCGTGGACTGCCCGCACTGTGTCTGGTTTCAGGGGTGGGATCCAGCACGGAGGAGATTTGCCTGCATAGGACATCTCCATGTGAATGCATAGTTAAGGAGGGTTTTAATGCAAAGAAATATCAGGGACAAAACTTAGTCTGATCATCAGTTGCAGACTTAGGTGTTCTAAACATCCTTGGTGAGTGGTTTTTTTTTTTTTTTTTTGAAAAGTCTGGTTTCCAGATGTTTGATTTAAGAATTACAGTGGAACAAACTGTTCGTTAAGGGCAGAAGGGGAAGAACATTACAAGATAGCAAGTTAGCCAGCAGGACTGACGGGAGCCTTTGAAAAGGCAGCGCGCCTGTCAGGTTTGGCAACTGCATTTTAAAAAAAAAAAAAAAAAAGGTGCATTTAGAAAGAGCTGGAGACTGACCTAATGCCTCCCTAACCTGTGTGCTTCGGGACAGAAGGGCCAGCAAAGTGCTGTGAAAGAGCCCAAGCAGCTGGTGAAAAGGCTGCATTTCAGAGCAGAGTGATAGGCTTTGTGTGCTACATGTGCATGCTGCTGCAAAATGTTTATACGAAGAATACTTTCTTTTTTTATTATTCTAAAAATGTGCAGAATGCAAAGCATTGACGTTTCCTTCCTTGGGAGTAGCTATGTCACTTTTTGCCTATACTCTCAGAACAGCACCAAGGAAATTTTCCTAATTATCCAGAGCAGCTAAAGGGTGAACAGATAAGCAAAAAGCCTAAAATTATACACAGGGTAATGTAAATGTTTCTCAAACAAACTTCTCTATTCATGTATTTAGGACCTTTCAGCTTCCTGTGAAGGTGTAGTCTACAGCATGTATTGCATTCAGGATGAAAGTCTCTTAAATACGACACAGAATTTTCTGGTTATCTAGACTGATTTCGAGGAGCCACTTAGTCACAGATGTGCTGTTTTTCATTGCAAAACATGTGCATTTTGACCATGTGGACAGCTGAACGCTGGCAAATTGCTAACGCAAGTTGCTCACACCAGTCGTTCCCAGAGATCTGCCCGGCTTTTGGCTTTGGCGTCCTCCCCTTCCCTCCCGCTCCGTCTGCTCCAACGGCACCTGCCTGGGCACATCCTGGTATGCGGGAGCAGCCCGGGCTCTGTCCCGAGGAGCCGCGGAGGGCGTTCGACAGGGACCACCCCGGCCTTTTTTTTTTCCCTTTTGCAGCAGGTGTTGGAATGGAGACATGAAAAAACCCTCCGGGTTCTGTCAAGACACGCAGGGCTGAAGCGCTTTGTCGAGCTGCTGAATGGCAGGGATGCCAAAACAAGTGCAGGGAAAGCTGGCCGTTTTCGAGGAGCCATGAGAAAGGTTCAGCCGTTTGGTGGGTGTCCCGGGGCTTTCCAGCCTGTGGGGAACACACCCAGGCCGGAGCAGGAAAGGGAAAAGTGGCACCAAAAGTGGCCAAATACCCGCTCGAGGCTTGGGAGGCGGCAGAAGGAGGGCAAGGAGCTGGCAGAGGAACAAGCCGTTGCCTTCCGTGACTCTACGGAAAGGGAGGAATCCGCAGGTCGTGTTTTTGACACGGGGCATCCGCAGCGCCGACCCCTCTCGGCTATCCCGTCTGCAAAGCTCCCGGCCCCCAGCGAGCTGGGAAAGCACTGCATCCCGGGATGCTCCAGCCAACCAGCCTGCTACAAGAGCTGTGATTCAGCCCGGAGCTTGCTCTTGCTGGGGTTCGGCTGTTGAAACACGCGGAGCCGCGCAGCTTTTCCTGGCGCGGGACCCGCTCTTCATACGTCTGCAGAAGTGAAGGGTCTGATTCACCGGTGAGGTACTCGCTCTCGGGGCATTTGCACCAGCACAACACTGCCGTGATGCACTTCAAGCTAATTGCACTTGTATAAATCACGGAATCCTGAGCAGCTAGCCCACTGGCTGAGGGATGTTGGGAATTGGGTGGAAGGCAAGTTATTACACGGCCCCAAAAGACATTAGCGGTGCATATGGCCTGAGCGAGGGCTGCTGTCAGGACCAGGGAGCCCGGCGCGGGGACGGGGAGTCAGGGCACACAGGAGCTCGCGGGGACACGAGGGCGCTCGGAGCCGGGCCGCGTCCAGGGACAACGGGAGCCGAGCCCGGGGACGGGAGCTTCCTGATGGAGACCTCGCAACCACTGTAACATGGCACCTAGAACGTGCTCGTCACATTTAACAGTTAGTTGGTGGCTCTGTTTTTCCCCTTTTGTCTTTTTTTTTCCCTTGGAAACACATATAAAGTTGTCTTGTCCATGCCAGTGTTCTCACTGATCTGTGAAACAGGTAGGAAATCATGCCAGCATTTCCATTCCTTGAAACGTTTAGGCCCTGAGTTCCAACCATGGCCTATTTGACATCAGCTTACTTATTCACGTGTCTAGATGACAACCTGTGACCATGTCAGTCTCCTGGTTTCCACCAGGTCCCTTTCCAGCCAGGCAGCAACTCTTGTTCCTCAGCTCTCTGCAGATGGGGTTGTGCCAGGAGCTTGCTTGTGGTACCAAGGAGAGAAGAAGGACCTGAGCTAAACCATCTTCAGCTCAGTTCTTCTCATGGTTTATGCAACTAACAAGTGTCAACTACGGGCAGGATTTCCCCCCTTTTTTTTGGATAAACTGCAGCAGAACCAAGGGAAATACATCTTGGAATATTAAAGGCGTTGGATCTCTGTTCCCAGTGCCAGCACCTTTCTTGAGCATCCCAGCTCATTGCAGCCAGCAGAGCAAGGCGTGAGGAGCTCCCAGGAGGCCCTGGACCCTGTGGAGCACAGCAGAAATAGCCTGTAGATTTACTGATGCAAGTGCTGACTTCATCCCAAATGGGGTAAAAGCAGGAGTAACTTCCTGGCAAATTACCTTTGACTATGGTGCAGCTATTTCAGCTTGCAAGCCTTCCACAATTCAAAAGGGAAGTACGAAAAGCTTCGTAGGAAAGAATATGTATGGCACTTTGTAGCTGATAAGTCTCCATTAGCCTGAAAATGTTGATCAATTTTCACTAGCCAGCTGAATATACAGCATACAATTAAGCTTCAAGCTGAATCTGTACTTTCATATTTCTGCCTTAGCACCAGCTGGTGTGTCCTGGAAAAGTAGTGTAGCTCTTGGAAGTGGCAAGGATTTAGAAAGAAGAGCTGGAAGATGAGGAGTACATGAACAGTAATTAACTGGGATGACTGGGAGAAGTAAGACCAAAATTAACAGCATGGAGCGAAATAATTAGGGAATGGTATTACTTTCCATTGCTCCAACTCATATCCCTGAAGAAGTTTTTAGAAGCACATGTTCAGGATACTTTTTCTTTTGTATTTTATTTTAACCTTTCAAATTCTGGCCTGATCTTTCAGCAGAAATGGCAGCAAATTTTTTAAAAAAGATCTGATATTAGATCATGACAAGCTCTGGTTTTGTAGGCTTTAGGTTCTATGAGTCTGAAGAAATCTCTGTATTTTGATTTTTTTTTCCAATTCAGTCAATTTTGAAGCTTCCATACCAAAAAAAATGCCACTTTCATAAAACATAGTTTCCAAATATTCTAAGTCAGAATTATCAAGTCTGTAACAGGATCTAAACATTTAAGATTCAGAGACATTTACAAAAGAGGGTTGTGTTTAAGACATGTTACAGAATTAAGTTTCTCTGCGCTTTGAGCAATTCAGGTCTGTAATTTCTGTCTAAGCCTATTACAGAGATAATCACTGAACCACAGAAGTCTGAATCAGTCTCAGCCTTCAAATAATTCAAGACGCTTTGGAGTAGATGTCTCAGAGATCTAAGTGCATCTTTAATTTATATATATATATAAACATTCACTATGAAGAAACATGTCTTTATAAATATAATGTAAAATGGTTCCTTTGGACCAACTAGCTCGAATAAGCCCAGCTTTTGCATTCTCTCCTTTACACCTGTGTAACTTCGCTGGTTTAAGAGGGTGCAATTTAGAGACCACTTAGGCCATAATGAATGAACCTGGTCAAAGCTGAATTTTTCTATATTGTTTCTACATGAAGATATTTTAACAATGGGCCAAATTCCACTGTCATTTCCATCTGTAGGATCTCCATTGGCTACAGCTGAACTATTTCAGTTTATTCAAGCAGAACT